AAGGGACGTGCCACCTGCTGTGTTTGGTTATTGCATTTGGCTGGAGCAAGGTGTTCATTGCTGGGAGCCATTAGCCAAGTAGGTATGACAATTTCCTTGCCAGCGTACCCCATGTTGCTTAGTGGAAGGACTCGTGGAAATAGGACATTTTGCAGTGACATTGCATGTAGGTGACCTTGCTCAAGTACCAGGGCGGATCCGGGTTTAGGTGTTCCCGGTTTAGGATAATCGGGTTTAGGGCGTTCCAGGTTTAAGATTATTCCTGCTGGGAATAGGGCGTATCCTGCTGCCTGAGTTCCCCTTGAGTTCTCACGGGATTCAGACAGTATTTTTTGGGAGACAGAAGCCCAGTGGTAGTGGATTTGGGCAGAGAACGTGGATTTCCCCGTACGGGCCACCAAATGCCGCAGTCTGGCTGGGCACAAAATCACGAGCCACCACACAGCTTGTAGATTCAAACAGCAACTCTTTATTCCCGAACTCACACTAGCCGTCTACAATCATGTTCTGGGGAAATCCACGTTCTCTGCCCAAAAATCCACCCCCACTGGGCTTCTGTCTCCCAAAAAATACTGTCTGAATCCCGTGAGAACTCAAGGGGAACTCAGGCAGCAGGATACGCCCTATTCCCAGCAGGAATAACCTTAAACCTTAAACCTGGAACCTAAACCGGGAACACCCTAAACCCGGATCCGCCCTGGTACTTGAGCAAGGTCACCTACATGCAATGTCACTGCAAAATGTCCTATTTCCACGAGTCCTTCCACTAAGCAACATGGGGTACGCTGGCAAGGAAATTGTCATACCTACTTGGCTAATGGCTCCCAGCAGTTCATAACACCATGTGTGCTCTTCCACTCAAGCTGAAGGCCATTTTATTCTTTTTCTACACAAATAAGGCACCACTCTGACCTCAGGTCCACTCCCAGGTCTCTGTTGCAGAGCAACAGAAGCAGAAGTCACCTAACAGACGTCTAGGCGGCCACCTCCCTGTGGTCTGGGCCCTGCTGCCAGTCTCCAGAGCAAAGGTACAGAGCACCCAGCCAGGGAAAGCTGAAGGCCCTCGGGCAATACCTTTTGCCTTTGGGAAACATTCATGCCCAGAAAGTGAACCTATTTTGATGGTTTCTGACAAGAAATGAAAACCATCTGCACTTCCTACACTTCTGCACCTGGGTATTTGCCAGTTCAGTGAAAGAGAAAACCAGAGTCTTAAAATGTCAGGTGTGAACAATTTTCATGAACATCCACACAGTAGGAAAGAAGCCAAGAGCTGAAGACTGATTTCAAAAGTAAAAATTTTTTAAACATTTGATTAAAGTTTAATTTGGGGGTAAGAAATATGCATTTCAAAGTTAAAGAACAATAAAAATAAAAGAGTGTGAAAAGTCTCCTCCTCACCCCTTGCCCATCCTAAATAATTTTCAACTTCAGAAGTAAACTGTACTCATAGATGTTTGTGATTTTGTTTACACAAGCTATTTGTATAAATTCTTGCTATCATCTGTTGCATCATTGAAGGAGGGAAGGTGTGTGAGGAGGAGGATGTGAGGAACTCTGCAAAAGTGGCTGGAGAATCCTGTATTTGCATATTTAAAACTTTTTTTCTAATAATCTTGCTTCTCATATATTAGTTTGGCTAGTTATATATTTCTTGGCTCATACTTTTATTTCTATTTTTAATGCTGTGTCTAATTTTTAATTTTGTTCTTTGAAAGCCCAATGCTTGGCTTCTGTTCACAAACTTCTTGGATAATGGTTTTAATTGCTATTTTTACTCTGCTGATTCTTTCAGGGAATCCAATTATGAATGTATTGGATTTCTTTACCTGCCATTGGATTTCTTTACCTGTCATTTTTCTATGGCTGATTTTTATATCTTTGCCTCCTCTAGGGAATGAAAAGGTGGTAAAGAAGTAAAAACGGACCTTTATCTTTCTTTCTTTTTATCAAACGTTTTGATCTAGTCTCCCTGGAGTGTATTGGAACCTCCATTTCTGATGTGATCTTTTTTCTTTTTCTTGATTTTTTTAAAAACTAAACTCAAAACTTTTACTTCATCTCATCTCATTTTCGTTCATTTCTGTTTTAGTTTGATTTCTGGCTGAAGTCGTTGACATGCTTGGTTTTCATATCTACAAAAGCTTGTTTATGAATATTTCATTCAATTTAGAGAGTCGTGTTAAACTTCTACTTTTCCGTCTTGGGAGGAATTTCATCAGCTGAATCATTCTGTCTTTTTGTATAAATAGCAGCTTTGTCCAGATAACTAGAAAGAAGTACCGGCAGAGTCCGGGGGGAAACTGATCGGCAGGTGGTGGGTATGGAAAAGACCAACCCCAGAAGCTCAGAGGTAACAGGCCTTGTTCTTCCAAGTTGGAAGCAGATTCACCATCCAGGAGCTGGTTCAGTCTGTATCATCGTATTTCTGTGTCGTGCGAAGGATCGAACCCCGCGCCCCGCGGACGCCAGGCGAGCGCGTTGCCGCCTGAGCCACAAGGCCAGCCCCGGAGAGCCCCGATTCGACTCCCGCCTAGTTTATCCCCCCCCCCCCCCCCCGCAAAAAAGGGACTGTTCCTCGTTCAAAGGAATAGCTTCCCCACAAAGAGCCATCTCAGCTGTCCGTTAAAAATGAAAAGGTCTTCAGAAAAGGGACTTCTAGGGAGGGATTCTCCTTACATCATATCTCTTGAAAACTTGGAAAAGGAGGTTGGATTCAGGACTCATTTGGGAAAGAAAAGGATGCCACGCCACAAGTTGTAGAGCTCCAGGAGGACATAGTACAGGTGCCGGGGGGATCAGCGGGCTGAAGAAGGGCGGGGTACACGTAGTGAGGTGATCCTTGGAGGAGACGAACCCACGGTCTCCGAGGATGATTACGGGGCTGCTCCGGAAGAGAGCCAGGCAAAACTTGGCCCGTACGGGGATCGAACCCGCGACCTTGGCGTTATTAGCACCACGCTCTAACCAACTGAGCTAACCGGCCACTGGTGACCTATTGCCTCAGGTTACACAGAGCAAAGTCACCGCAGGCGGGACACTGGGCTGCACCTCTTTAACAGACAAAATCTCGTTTCTCGGGGTTCTGCTCCTCGGGACGTGCCCCTCCCGCGTCCTGCTCCTCGGAACTCCTGTTCCTTGGGGGCCGGGCTCCTCCCAGGTCCTGTTCCTTGGGGGCCGCGCTCCTCCCGGGTCCTGTTCCTTGGGGGCCGCGCTCCTCCCGGGTCCTGTTCCTTGGGGGCCGCGCTCCTCCCGCGTCCTGCTCCTTCCAGGTCCAGCTCCCGGTGCTGCGCAGGGAGGCGAGTCCGGGCGAAGGCGGAGGTCCGGATTCGCGGAACCGAGCGCGGGATTCGCGGCTCTGCCCCGCGGCTCCTCCGGACCGACGCTCCCCAAGGAGGCGCCCTTCTGTTTGCGGTGGGACCGCGGGTCTTGCCCTGCAGAAGGATGGGGTGGAGACTGGTGGACCGCCTTCTTAGTTTTTGTTTGCTTCTCCTTAAAGCACCTTTGTCTTCCACGACCCTTTCCCCATCGGTCGGTAGCTGGAAGAAGTTCAAGAAGGAAGTCTGAGATCAGGGTGTTCTTTTCGTGTCACCGACCTCGATCCGAGTTAGGCAGCTGCTAAAGCCGTAAGGCAAAATTGGCACTAGACAAACAGAAGGCCCCTTTACAGTAAGTGCCATCTGACATCTTGGAGAATTCGCTTCTGTATCCGTAAAACTTCAGAAAGATTTGAGTTGACCTTTCGGCCGGAAGAAAAGGAGAGCCCCGAGCCAGCCAGGAGTCGAACCTAGAATCTTCTGATCCGTAGTCAG